TTTTTTTCTTACTGTTGTAGATTCTGCGTCATCAACTTCTATAATTGGATTTCACTATTTTACATTTTAGATACTATCTTAAAGCAGTAGATGAGTGTACAATTATTCTTCTTGCTTGTAATCTTTCCACTCTCAAATTCCATTCCCAAAATGCACCCTCTTTGCAGGTTAAAAACCGTGCCAGGGCTCCAAAATATTTTAGTTTCTTTCTGCCACGGAAATATTGGTATTTTTCTGTTTTGTCAAAAAGCAGAGCTATTTCACTTCTCTTTGGGTAGTGGCAGGGGATGGGGCTGGCAAGGAGAGGGGAGGGTGGCTGGAAAGGAAGATCGCAGAGCAGTGTAATTCCCTCCATCCTCCCCACTCCCAAGCTGGACCTTATTTGAAATCAGTACTTTCTCTTACCATTTAATTCGCAGTGGTTGGCAACTTTTATGTCCTAGAGAACATTTGTTGGTCATTGGAGGGAACAGGTAACAGAGGATCCGTAATAGCTGACTTCCTGGAATTGGTGGAGCAGGAAAGCAGGTCACTAGCAGGCGGTTGAGCAATTCAAACCACATCAGCTTTGCTTTTGTTATATAAAAGGTATGCATTACAGGGCACTTTACTTTTCTCTCTCATTTTTTGAAGATTTTTATATTTTATTTTTTTTAGATTTTTGAAGTTTAAAAACAGAGCTTCCATTAGATATGTGTGTTTTTCTGAAGAAGAAAATGTGTCACCAAATATAACAAGGGATCTAGTATTTAAAAAATTGCTGTACTCGGAGAACGACTTTGTTATTGATTGATTAAATAAAATGGAGATAATGCTTAGCTAATAATGTTATACTTAAACCTTACGAAGCTTTAAGTTTGTTTCAAGGACTTTCCTTGTCTTATAGCAAGATATTCATGATAGTTTTTTGCATGAGCACAGAGAAGACACCTTTTGGCACAGATATATGGCCAGCAAGACATAGAGGCAGATTTTCTGCTTAATCAAACCAAAATAATCTTCTGATGCTGAGTTAGGATCTGGCCTCTGTCACGAATGAGAAAGCGGTATTGCTAAATGTCACAATATTGATTCCAATTATTACCTTTAAGAAAGGGTCATGTGAGATGTCTAGGGCTCTGTGAACTCAGTGGTGTGAACAGTTCTTGATGAGATTAGTGATAAAGATGTCGAGACAGCAAGAGCTATGAGATTATGTAGTATGCTTAGGGGGGCACTGTTTGACAAATGGATTTTGAAGCAGCCTTACAGTAACCATTGGAGAAGGCTAGCAGTTACGTTTTGGGTAGAATACAGTTTGGAAGAAAGAATGTGATTATTAATTTCTTTCATGTTCTGGATTTAAAGAGACGATTGGCATTCAGCTTTGAAGAAGATTCTGTAAACTTGAAAGACAAATGCTTCTCATACATTTGTAGTGTTGCAGGAAAAGAAACTATTTTAGGAATATGGGGAGAGTTAGAGCTTTCTGGCATGCAGAATACTATTATGTTGTGTTTATGAGTCAATCTCAATTTAAAATTTTGAAGTTGTCAGTAAGAATTTAATTAAATTAAATATTCTTAAATAAAAGTGGGAAGGAAAAATGGCAATGATTACGTTTAAAGAATTAGGAACATTTTTTAAGAGTTCTGTGGTACTTCTAGACAACCTCAATCTTACTGACACTCAGTCTCAAAGGCATGTAGCTAGGATTTTATACCAGGCAAATTTCAGTCATACAGATTGTACTTTCTGCAGCACAAACCGCCTTAAAAATTGATTAAGAACAGCCAAATAACTGAAGAAATATTTTAAAATACAGTTTTAATGAAGTATCAAGTCTGACAGTAGACAACAGTTTCTTTCATATTGCCCTCTGCTCTGCTAACGTTGCTGCAGACAGATGTGTGCCGGGGCTCTTGAGAGGCCGCAGAGCAGCGGTTCCAGCAGGACGCCGTGGAGGAGCCGTATGGTGTCAGCCCAACAGCGTGGGTTGGGACTGTGCAGAGGAGGATGCAGCAGAGGGTAGTGCTGGAAATGGGTGTAGGTCTGCTCTTCATTCCTGTGTAGGTGCAACCCTGAGAGTCTCGTCTGGTAACTTTGGAATATGTTCTTCAGAGTATCCCTTTTGGTGACTACTAACAAACAGATAATCCCAACAGTCTTGCAGATAGTAAAATGATTTCTGTAGTTTCAGTGTGGTATTTTTACTGACAGTTGGTAGAAGCAGCTTAAGGAACTGCGTAAGCGATTGGCATGCACTGCAAACTTCAGTTTTACTCTCTCAATCTTAAAAGCATTAGATGTTTCTTCCAATTTAATATCTGCATAATGGATGTGGATGGAGGGGTATGCTGCTGCCAGGCAGCTCTCGGCAGCCTCTAACAGGCTAGCGTAGACTTCCAGAGCAACAGCATTTTTCCGCTCACGTTATCCATCTTGTGCCAAATACGCTGAGCCTCAATTTTTGCACAAGGCACTAATAAAAGTTGTGCTTCGGTCCCGTTTTTCCCCAGCTCTGTACGCCGTGGTTTGGGCCTGGGGGTGGAACAGGCGGCGTGTGAATGTGATGTGACTCACCTCGCTCCTACTCCCCTGCTCCTGTCCTCGCTGGCTCTCACCCTGCCGTAGCAGTATGGCAGAGGAGTCCTCCAGCCTGCCTCTCCCTCTCCTCTCTCTCTCTTTTTTTTTTTTTTTTTTTTAATCTTTTCACTAATGTTCCTCCCATTGTAAAGAACAAGATGGAAACAAATTCTTGGGCCATTGCTGCTGTTAGGGAGTCAGTAGAAGAGCACCATTATCACTGAATTTCATACAGCCAGCTGTGGAAGACAAAAACTCCCTTCCTGTTCATGCCGGGTATGGTAATTCTTTAGCCTCCTGTGCAGTGTGTGTGCAGTCCATTTTCTGGCAGGTATTCCATAGGCAAGTTGCATTATTTCCTCTCCTACTTTGTTCCATTCTCCTCTCCCCCGCCTCGGGTTATTCTCTGCAAATGTTTTTTCAGCTCTTCTGTCTGCTTGCTGACATGGCACTTTGGTTTGCACGTTAACGTGGTTGATCTTTTCAGAAAGCGATTTAAAATGATTGTTTAGTTATTACGTATACGAATGAGCTGATAGGCACAGGCCATTTAAAACTATGTAAAATATCTGAATTAGCAAAATGCCTTCTACACTCCTATTATTTTCTCCTTGTTGTAGAAGGGAACAAACAATTTACAGCTTTTAGGCTTTGACAGCTTTTATCGCTTTTCTGGATGCAGTGTAAAATAGTTCCTTCATGCTGCTGTCCATTACCAGCTCCCTGAAGTTTCAGTGAGGTTGGGCCTGTGTTTCTCGTGGTGTTGGAGCTGAGCGTGCATCCCCAGCCAGAGCTGTGGGTTTTGCAGAAGCCAGGCAGCCCTCCTCCTGTACACCTCTGAGTCACTGAATTCAGCCTTTTGCAAAAAGGTCAGTCATGTGAGCTCGCACATTTCAACCTTATGAAACAGGGGTGGCCTTTTTGTTGCCTGTGTGTTTTATTTGGCTTTTTAAAGTTCCAGTTCACAAATCTGCCCATGTGGGACCCTGCTCCTTTTGTTACCTTCCTCTGGGCTAGAGCTATGCATTCAGTATGTGAGGCACTGTGCAGTTTTAACTCATCATAAACAAGATACTCAGAATCAAAAGTCTACAGTGTGTCAACAAGAACTATGCAGAGAACAGATATTTTCTTCACTCAGAGTTTCATAATCCTGTGTGAAAGAAATTTGAAAGAAAAAATAGTTTCAGTTGGTTGTAAATAACTGGATTTTGGGGTGGGTGTTTTTACTCCATCTCTCTGTTTTTGTACTGTCTTAATACTAATACTTCAAAACAAAAAATCAAAGCATTTGATATTGTCAGAACTTTTTTTTTCTTTTCCTTTCCATGTAAGTAAAACTGTTTGGGGCAGCCCACTGTCAGCACCTGGCTCTGGTAGAGGTTTCCTGACCGTTTCTGTTCCCACTGGAGAACAGTTGAGCCCTTACCACGTCTGTTTGACGTCATTGTCTTCTTCCGAAGCCAGCGTTGTCATATAACTGTTTTGGAGTGTGTGTATGCTCTTGATCAAGGGGGCTTAAGTATGTATCTAAATCTTTTTAAAGCTGTCCTAATTTGGGAGTGGTTGGAGTGTAGTAAAAAAATGTCCATTTTCTGTCCTGCCCACAGAAGGTGAAAAAGGTCTAGGGGTGTTTTCACCTTTGTCCGCACTAATGTGTAATATAAACATAAATTGTGAGCCCTTATTAGCCATGTGGCGACATGGTATCTCATCCTGCAGGTCACCTGGTCTGCTCTTACATCTGTTGAGTTACAGTCTAAAGATGCGCAACAGCTGCCAGGAGAAGAAACTTATTTTTTAAATATTTTCAAACTTTCATCGAAGCTATAGTGTAATAGGAAGCCCTTAAGCTAGGAGAAATAAATCTGTGCCATTTTCTTCCCATGTAGGTAGCCCTTTCTGATTTTCTTTCAGGTGACAATAATGTTGAACAGAATGACCACGCATCCATGCCTTTCCTATTCCCCACTTTGCACTCAAACTGGCTGTCTCTCCGCTCAGTTTCGATGCCTGGTACGAAATGGCATCCCTATTGCCTTGAAGTCAGCCCTGAGGCTTCAGCCTGAAGTCCTTTTTCATAATTGTTTAGGAATGGCGCATGTTTGAAGGAATCAGAAACTTTGGAATCTGAACGCTAACACATCTCACATGAATATAGGTTGAGTCTTGCAGTGTTTTGTGAATAGGCTGAATTTTGGTGGGTGGGTTTCTGCAGGGACAGCAAGGTCACCCTGCTGGGCAGCAGTACTCCTCTATTTTGACACTGTGACTAGTAGATAACACCAATATTTAAAACTACAAAAAGAGAAATCCCCCTAAGCTTCTGACCAGTTCTTTATTTACATTAAATATATTAACTGTTTTTATATTCTCTGATATGTGCAGCTAAATAACTGTCATCATTTCTGTTTATGTTTTTGTTTATCTGGTAGAAAAGAGTGGTGGAACAGCTTCGAAAGAATTTGATAGTGAAGCAGGAACAGCCAGACAGTAAATTTCAAATACAACCGTTGGCACAGTCAGAAAACAAACTACAGACACCACAGCCGCAACCACTACAACAGCTACAGCAGCATCACCATCAACAGCAGCAGCAGTCTACTGCACCCTCTCCAAACGTGATTGGATCACAGGTAAAAATCTCCACAATAATTATTTTCCTTGCTAAAGGTGAAGTTCACCAAAAAAAAAAAAAAAGTGCAGAGAGAAAATTGCAAACTTTCACTTATGCCCAGTAGTGTACCAGTATGAATTTCTCCTTCTGTGCATATGCAGATGTGGTTCTTGTGGGTTTTTTTGGCAATAACCTCCTATCTGAGTCAAAAAAATTAGGTAGTGTTTAAAAGTTACATCATAGCTTCACAGAAGACAAGGGTGGCATTATCACCTTTTCTAAAAATAAATGAAGGTTTAGTAAACGGACCTGTCTTTTCCGTAGGTGCATGAGTGATTGTCTGTCCATACCCAGTAGGTCTCAAGAAACAGTAAAGACTTTACACGCACTGTATGAGGTGTATGATTAAAATATTTTTAAAAGACAAGAAGAGTAGCCACTCTATCTATGAGCAAAATGTAAGAAAACAGTTCCCTCTTCTTTCTGCTTGGTTCTTTTTAAACAGATGTAACTCATATTGAATAATATTTACCTGGGTTTGCAAGGATTTGTCTAAAAGTGTACAACGTTAATTGCAAAGTTTGAGTTTTAGAAAGTAGTGTCTTTACTGGGAAGGTACACTAAATTTCAGTGTAGGATTAAAGACATAATCCCCGAACTCACCAGAGAAAGTGGTCTCCTACTGAGAGGAGAATTCCAAGTTTCTCCTGTTCAAATATTTAGAATCCCAAAAGTGTGCTAATAAAACAGCTAGAAAGTGCAGGGAGGTGTTTTGTAAAATAAGCATATGTGAGGTCTTTTTTTCCCATTGATGTAATCTCAGCAGCTTGGGTTTGCCTGGATAGACAGATGGCAGAATTCACCCGTGAATTTTCCTTTAAGCACATTGCAGTGAATCACAACCATAAGTTTGACCGATTGTGATTCTTGTGTTCCCTTTTCTTGGAAGTAGAGGAGGGAGAAATGGTTTGGCTGTTAGTTCTGTCATAAACTCAGCAACTTGTTTGAATGTGCTTTAAAAATATATTTGTGAGGCTTAGGTAACTGTATTTTTGAGAAAATAATATTGAAGAAATGAAGGAAACTTAACTAAGGAAAAGACATTTCTGAACGGCAACATCAGTATCAAAGCTAAAACAGAACAAATAAGTAAATATTACTGTGTCCAAAAATATTTATAGCCAAACAATGGATCCCTCTTTGCTGTGTCACTGATCTCTGTTTTTCAGTCAGGAAACATGACTGCAAAAGCGGCTTCGTATTCCACACTTTGCATTAACTTCCAGGTCATCTCCTGGCTTGTAAAAATTGAGGTTTTGTTCAAAGTTAAAGAGCCCCCTAGTGAAACAGTCAAAAAACTGCTACACCCTTCTGACTACCATTGACAAAGTTGTACTTTGAAAGTAATTACAAACTGAAAGGCAGGTTGTCCTCTGGTTTGAATAAATAATCCAGCTATTATCCTTAACACTTTTCTAGTGTTATTTATGTTGGTATAATTCTAAAGTAAGCTTACTTGCCTCTGTGCACATTTTGCCCCTCAATCTCTTTCAGCAAAGAAAAGTCAAATATTTTGTCTCTCTAGAAAGTTTTTGGGTTCCTACTTTTGTGAATCTTTCAAGGCTGTGTCAGTAAAGAGAATGTTTTCAATGGTTATTTTCAGAATAATTCAATCAAGGTGTATATATATATATATATGCTGCCTTAATAGTGACATTGTGATGTACTTAATATAGTCCAGTAAGAAGGGCTTTTGAAACTTTCATAAAGCACCGAGCCTGCTAAAATGTAATTTTATTGCAGTGTTATTATGTGAAATAATGCAGACTTGCTATGAATGCCACTTCAGTATGAATTCACGCATTGAAATCTTTTTAGAATAACCAAGGTAATTAATGCTCAGCAGAGTAACAGGGATATTCAAGCTTTGTGATCTACTAACTGAAACTAAACTCTTACTGCTTACAGACTTATCAGAACCCCTTGAAAGAGCCACAGTCTTATATTAAGTGATTGATTGCATTTTTCTTTAGAATGTTTATGGATGAATGTAATGCTTGTGAAAATAATACCATCTTACGTCTCATTGAAAAAGCTTGAATAATGTTAACTGCATTAGGGAGAAGATGCAGCAGAGGTTGAGAAGAAGCTCTTGAATCTCAGATAAAAAGTTAAGGGAATTGTTCATGTTGCAACAAGGAAAAGTTAATTGTGTCGGATTTTGTATAAATGTATAAAATTGAAGCATGAATTATCCTTTGATTTGGCATTCCACAGTGATTTTTTCACCCTTGTGCATAGTTAACAGTTAGGGGATATAATTGTGAAATTAGAGGTGTGAAGGTAAACTGTGTTTTTGTTTAAGGAAGTAATATTGGTGAATATACTGAAGAATCCAGCTGGAAATGTATTTATATTATTTTATTAGAGAGAAGAGAAAGGTCTTGTGTGATTAAAATCAAGCAGTCTAAATCAGGCACGTTCAGAACATGAAAAAGACTGCCTGATCCCTGGGTCTCCATTTTTTCCTGTGTAGAGCCTAGTGCTGACATCGGGCAGGAATGGGGATTATTTCATACTAAGAGCATCTGATCATGCCAGTGACTGTTGAAGATGCAGTGCCATTGGTACAGTGGATTTTTTTTATGCCAAAGAAAAAAGAAATAAGCTCACTTGCCATTCTGTTGAGTGTCACTTGTCATGAGTTTTCTGTGTGCATATTGTGTTCTGGTTTTATATGGAAACTCTCTTGCCTTGTTGCTCTTTGAATGAGATTCGTAATTGTCCGTTTCCATTAACATCTTAGAAGACAGTGCATTTTCAAAGAAAACTATTAAATTATAGTTGTTTTAACTTTGGAATTTGTGGGCATAATTTATTCAGGCATTTCAGATAAATGCTGACATTAAGTGATTCAAAACCACTCTCTTTAAAACAGGCCAAGAGCAATCATGGCATCACATATATGTTCCAAACACACTCCATTCCGCAGAAGTTAAATTTAATTGCCTGCAGTGGGACAGACTAACAGCCAGCTCTTACAGCTTCAAGATAGCCCTACTAATATTCTTAGGAAGGAATGTTGAGGGCTATATAACTGTATATATGGCTGAAACTGAAATTTGGGATACCCAAAATCAAAATACATTTTTATTTTTAAATAAACCAGTTTATGAGTATTTTTTCCCTCTTCTTCTGATTGTGAGGATCTCTGTAGCTAAAGTTTCCATTTGAAAATTTGACTTTTAATCGGTGAGAAGCTAGTTTGCTGGTATGTTTCATAAAGCTCCACCTTGTAGGTTTGATATTGACAGTATGTGTTTGGAAGTAATATGAAATTAAAAGATCCAAAAATGCATATGCCACTACTAATGCTTGATTGTCATTTTCTCAGGGATTTGTTTTTAATCAATCTGTAATGCTGCAGGTGATTAAAATAGACCCAACAGGTGCTTCAAATGAGTGTCCTTTCTAGCTTTCCAGTTTTCAGGGGTGTAAGATAATGTGCTTGTCTGAACAGTAGGTAGATAGACTCTGTGCTGCCTTCTCTTTCTCTTACTGTCCATTGTTTCTGACTAACAAACCCATGTCCTGTCTGATACGAAGTGTCTCTGTCTCTTACAGTGTATTTTCTGTTTCCCTTAGAAAACTGTAACTACAGCTTCTATGATCACCACTAAGACACTACCTCTCGTCTTGAAAGCAGCAACTGCGACCATGCCTGCCTCTGTTGTGGGTCAGAGACCTACCATTGCCATGGTTACTGCTATCAACAACAATCAGAAAGCAGTCCTCAGCACTGATGCACAGAATGCACCAGTCAACCTCCAGACAACAAATAAGGTCACTGGGCCAGGAGCTGAGGCAGTCCAAATAGTGGCAAAAAACACAGTAACTTTGGTAAGCGTTTCATGTGTTTGCCCTGCAGATATGTGTGGGTTTGGTTTACAAGAGAGCTGTTGGGAAAAAAGTGAATAAACAATCAGGTTTTTGCACAGAAAGGAGAATAGTGGGGACATGTTGTGAGTCTTCACTAGCTGACATTGTTAAAGTGATAGTCGAAGAGAAAAGCATTTAATATCTACATGGGTTGTTATTACTGTTTCACTTTATAGAATTAAATCAGTGCTATCACCTCTGTGTAAAGTTTCTCGTTAGTAATTGTTAATCACAGGGAAGTAACAATTGTTTCGTCCCTGCCTAATCTATGTGGCTGTGTTCTGCAGAATTCCTACTCTTTTCTTTGGTAAAGGAGATGTCAGACTTTCCTCATTTGATCAGTATTCATCTTAGATTTTTTTGAGTCAATGTCTCTCCCTTTGCGTGATAAAGTCCCTGGTGTCAGACATATCCCATAACTCTGCCCACTACCATGTCTTCACTCACCACTTTTTCATACACATGTACAGATCCTGTTTCTTTAAGCATGTATTTTGGAAGGTGCTTTGATTACATCACACAGTCTCTTCCAGAATAGGTAGCCACCTAGAAATAAAAGAAGTAATGTTTTAGAATTGGGTTATACAGGCTTCTTGGCCTAGAAACCAGGGGTTGTATAGCATTGTGACAGGGAGATTTTACTTCTGGAGTAAAGGTTAAGTCTTCACTAAACATAAATCCAATTTATCTGTATTAAAAAAATAAGTTTAATAATGCAAATGGAAGTAATTTTGCTTCCTAATGAGCCATATGTTTGCAATCAGAATAGAGAAGACTAGTTGAGTGGCGTTTTTTCTACTGTTGTCTTTTCCCATGTCTTCTCTTGTACCACCCTCATCTGTCCTTTGTGTCTGTGCTTCATTTCTTTGCTGAATAACTTAGGTTTGGAGAGGTGATTCTGTTTTAGTAATTGTCCGTGATTTATGTTTCTGTAGCAAATTCCATCAAAAATCTCAGCATATTTTCCCAAGCATTAATTAATCAGTACAAGACCTTTTTGAAGTAAATTGCAATCTTATGTGGGTGGACAGAAGTACAGAAGGGTGGAAACTAACATAGGCATTAATTTCAGAGAATCTTGCCGAGTACTCAGCTTAGTGTTATTCAGAGGTTAATCATGTGGTAGCTCCATCCAACTGATTCCGAGTAGACAGGGAAGTACTTAGGACGCCTTAAAATCAGATCTTAATTCTTTCAAATGAGTGGCTTACTACTGAAAATTTCAAGTTGTGTGTTTAGAGCCCCTCATAGTGTCATTGGTATTGCTAAGAGTTGGAACTTACAGGCTTTTTCTATTGGCATGTGATCCTCTTCATTCTTCTGTATGCCATTCAGTGGAAGGACAGTGGTTTGTACAGCTGGACGTCAAAGTCTGTTACTATTTTCTGTCTGCTGTAAAGCCAATTTTTAACTATCAAAACAAATAGGAGTTTTCATTATCTTCAAATGAAATGGTTTTAGATTGCAGAGCACAGTAGTTAGTACAGGTGAACTAAAAGGAAAGATACTTTCAATTTATGAAGCAAAGTGTGTAGGAACTAGAAATTAAGATTAGCTCTGTCTCTAATGCATTTCTAATAAGAACCTGTTACTGTGAAAAACTATTCACAGAGTAGAAAACCAGGAACATCAGGTCTGAAAATACATTCAGGATGATGATTTTGGTGAAAAAATTCAAAGATATTTTTCACTTACTGAACTCTCTTATATTCTTATAGCAGGTCCAGGCTACACCTCAGCCCATAAAAGTGCCGCAGTTCATTCCTCCTCCCAGACTCACTCCTCGTCCAAATTTTCTTCCACAGGTGAGTGTACAGAGAACAAGTGATAGAAGAAGGAACTTAATTATAGCATAGATAGGAGATATTCTCTGTGATGATCTTTTTTGTTAGTCTTAGTGGTGACCTGGTGAGGGAAACAATTCAGCAGGTTTGCAGATGGTGTCAAATTTGAGGGTACAGTCAATACTCTTGAGGGCAGTGCTGACATGGAGTGGGACCTAGACAGGTTGAGGAATGGGCCAAAAGGAATCTCATGAGCTCCAGCAAGGAAAAAAAGTCTAGCACGTGGCATGGACTAACCCCCTGCGTAGATACAGACTAGGGACTGTCTGTATCTGATCCAATCACAAAATTGTATCTGGTATGCAGTATGCAGTTTTAGACCCCCTGGTACCACAAAGAAGTTGATAAATTTTAATGAATCCAGGAGAGGAAGGCCATTAAGACTGCTGGGGGCCAGGAATACACGTCCTGCAGGAGCAGGCTGAAGGAGCTGGGCTTGTTCAATTTGCAGGAACCTAATAGCTGCCTTGTTTCCAATACCTATGAGGAAGTTAGCAAGAAAATGGAGGCATACATGCATGGCAGAGAATTATAGACAGTGGTCATAAATTGGAACAACGAAGGTTTACACTGGTTATAATGAAGCAATTTCTCACTGTGAGGACAGTGGGTCAAGGCAATCCCAAGCACAAATACAGGCTGGACAGAGAATGGATAGAGGGCTCTGAGGAGAAGGAAGGACTGGGGGGTATTGGTGGATGAGAAGCTCAACGTGAGCCGGCAGTGTGCGCTTGCAGCCCAGAAAGCGAACAGTGTCCTGAGCTGCATCAAAAGAAGCATTAGCAGCAGGTCGAAGGAGGTGATTCTCCCCCTCTACTCTGCTCTCGTGAAATCCCACCTGGAGTACTGTGTTCAGATGTGGGGCCCCCAACATAAAAAAGACCTGGACCTGTTGGAGAGAGTCCAGAGGAGAGCCACAAAATTAAGCAGAGGGCTGGAGCACCTCCCCTATGAGGACAGGCTGAGAGAGTTGGGGTTGTTCAGCCTGGAGAAGAGAAGGCTCCAAGGAGACTTAATAGCAGCCTTCCAGTACTTGAAGGGGGCTACAGGAGAGATGGGGAGGCACTCTTTATCAGGGAGGGTAGTAATACGACAAGGAGTAATGGGTATAAGCTGAAAGAGGGTAAATTTAGACTAGACATTAGGAAGAAATTTTTCACTGTGAGTGTGGTGAGGCACTGGCCCAGGTTGCCCAGAGAAGCTGTGGATGCCCCATCCCTGGAGGGGTTCAAGACCAGGCTGGATGAGGCTTTGAGCAACCTGGGCTAGTGGGAGGTGTCCCTGCGCATGGCAGGGGGGTTGGAACCCTGGGCAGATGGTCCCTTCCAACCGAAACCATTCCATGACAGTTAGGAGTGGTCTGCATTTGGCGTTGGCCCTGCTCTGAGCAGGAGGTTAGGTTAGAGACCTCCTGAGCTCCCACCCAACCTGTGTGAGTCTGTGATCAGGAGATTCGCATATGATGATCATATATGATCCTGTTTGCATCAAATTAGATTAACCGTGGAACAGGTGTCAGCAACATCAAAGCGTCACCCGATGCCTTAAGTTGCTGTAGTCATTGTTTGCTGCTCATGAGAAAAAAGGAAAAACAAGATGTCTCTAGATTGTTCCCGAGTATTTCTGTATTGCAACAAAGAGTAACTTCTGTTTGCAGCTGAGCAGTAAAACTTGTGGTTTAATTTTTTTTTCATGGTATGGGAAAGGTATGTATTGCTTCTTCATTTAAAAAACATTTTGGAGGAATTATTTCATTTGTAAGAAATATGTGGCACTGTGAATAAAAGTAAAAATCTTTTACAAAAGGAAAGTATAGGCTGGTATCTGATTAAGATTTAGGGACAGTGAGATCTGTTGGAATGTGACCTAGTTTCCAATGATAAAATGCATTATGGAGTATTAAAAGGTAGATAGGACAATAGGAATTAAGTAATGAAAAATACTTTTATTTTCAGAGTACTGTAATGATGTGATAAGTACAAACTTAACAATGGGCAAGAAATAAGCAAGTATTAGTGGTGGAGGACTGGAAGATTCTTGTGGCCCTTTTCTTTCTTGTGAAAGACAAAAAGAGTAATGACTGCATTTACCTGTAGCCTTTAGCACTTTCAGTGAGGGATTAATGTGAAATCTTGACAATTTTTTTGCTTAGCAGGATTGGTTGTGCAAGTGTCTAAATAATATATAGAGTTAACAAGGTAACAGGGATTTGCTGAAAATTTTAATTATTTCTTTTAGGACACAATCAGCTGCTAATGATTTCTTGAAGGTTCAGGATAAATCCTTGAGACACACTTTTAACATGAAAGCCTCAGCTGTGCCTGTAAACTTTCCATGATTTTTTGGCTTGCAAAACCAGTATGTTGATTTAGATACAGATAAGACACTTGGCAATAAACATCCAATATAAGTGTCTGTGCATCCAAATATAATTTTAGGGACAGTGGCTGCGTATGCAAATGTTATGGGTGGGTTTTATGGAAGTAGGTTTGAAAATGTGGCTTTTCCTACTCATAGCATCCTTGGGATACTATGCTAAAAATTACATTCCATAAGAAATCAAACCACTTTTTGCAGATTATACAGGCCAAGTGGAAAGACTTTGAGGTACTGATGTATTAATCTTGCTCTTTTTTTTTTTTTTTTTGGTAGGTTCGACCTAAACCAGTTGCCCAAAATAACATTCCTATTGCCCCAGCACCTCCTCCAATGCTTGCAGCTCCTCAGCTTATTCAGAGGCCTGTGATGTTGACAACAAAGTTCACACCCACCTCTTTACCCAACTCTCAGAACTCCATACATCCAGTTCGCGTAGTTAATGGGCAGACAGCAACCATAGCCAAAACTTTCCCTATGGCACAGCTCACCAGCATCGTGATAGCAGCACCAGGTACCAGGCTCACTGGACCTCAAACTGTACAGATCAGCAAACCAAACGTTGAAAAACAGGTACGCAACAGAAAATGCAACATACGGGGTTCATTGCTTTACTGTGCTGGTTTGGAGAGGATGACAACCGTGGAGAAATTTTCAGGGGGTATTGGAGATATTCATGTTCCAACAATGGTACAAATTATGGAATGACTTGCAACTCTTGGGGCAGAAATTACCATTTTCTTTAGCATGGCCCATTGGAATATTTTTCTCATGCTTCAGTGTTTTTATGCTCCACGTGCTGTCTTAACTTCAGTAGTTTATAAGCAAGCTATATTGCAGGGCTGTACTGGTATCTTGGAGACCAAGTACAAACTGAAATCCATGTTCATATCAAGCCTTTAAGAAACATTGGAAAAATATTTTCTGTGTTTCTGTTTTTCAAAGGGTGGGTACATAAAAGGCAAACATTACGCAAAATTGTAGGGGTATTTAAGATGATAAATGTAGCCATTTCTTCCTTGATCTTGCAGCCTTGTGATTGGAGACAAAATAGTCTCACTCAGCTACTGAAGACTGATAGTTCCCCCTGACTAAATTGGATTGATGAGTGGAAGGGAAACCCTCAGCAGCAGAGAATTCTAGATGTTTAGTTTTTAAATCTCTCTCCAGAAAAGAATTTTATAAATCCTTGCCATTCAGTTCAAGTAAAGCAATCCTCTGTTTCACTTTTAACTCTTTCGTATATTAATTTATGTAATCTATATAAATAATAGTAGTATATATTTCAGTTATAACTCTTTCATAGACTAATGTTCCTTCAAGTTATCTTCTGCTTTTGAAGTCACCTTTGGAGACTCTGAAAATCATGTGTATGAAAGATATGCTCATGCTCAGTTCTTTATGGATTTTCACGAGTAGGTTCTTGCATACCTCAAGGCTGTTCCACAAGTTATTCAGCAATGTGTGCCCTTTTCGTAGGATTTGAATTTGTGCTTCTGTAATTCTATACTTTTGATGCCTATTCCTTTTGATGTCAGCAATATTTGTTTGCTCTTCTAACAATTACTGGCAATTGAACTGTTGAAAAACATACAGAAGAATGGTGGTGGCTTAATAATACATGAATTTTTCTGTATATTGTCTCCATATCATAGAGGAGAAAAGTTTGTCTCTCTGTAGGTTACCTCAGTCAGTTTGTAGCCTCAACAGCTATGCCATGGGCTGAGGATTGTCATGCAGGGCTTGTGATATCATTGCAGAAGATTATGAGTTCAGATAAGAAAAAAACTTCAGAAACACCTGAGATCTTAGGAGTCAGAGAGACTATTTTTGAGACATTTATAATTCTTCATGAAGACTGAGGAGTGAGAAGTACAAAATGCACATGCCATGCAGAATGGTTTCTACCTGGAGGTGTTCCATGAGACACTTTTTCTTAAAGTGTCTGTTAGTTTTCCCATTCCATATAGTGATTTCTGTAATGGAGTTAACTCTTAGGATGACTTCTGTTGTTTGCATGGTTGCGTGGGTTAATGGATGGTGGTAAGGCTGTTTCATCCTTTGTTAAAGGAAAATACTTTATTTAACATTCCTCTCATGTCAGATTCCTTAATTAAGTCTTTGTTAGTGCACTGCCAGCTCTAAACTGTTTTTCTCCTGTATCTGTGAAAGTATTTGTTTTGCTTTATTAGTCAAAGTAAAAAAAGTCATTCTTATCAGTGAAGGAGAGAAACACTGTTTCTTTTCAGACTATTAAACCACATGTGGAAGCAGAAGAGAAGCAAACAGAAAGTCGTACAGTTACTCCACCTGCTGCACCGAAGCCAAAACGAGAAGAAGATCCACAGGTATCCCACACCAGGGCTTTCTTTGAAGAAAAAAAGGAAACACTCTGTCCTTCTGAAAATATTTTCCCCCCTCTGTTCCCTCAAGACTCCTTAACTTTAACATTTCATACATTCCTGTTGGACAACAGAAGTTGATAAGGCTACAGAATAAGAAACCTAAATAAATATAGTGCATTGTGGTTTTCAGTCCTGGAATCCATTTCACTTACGAGTCTTTTCTAAGTTAGAAGATCAGAATATCCCTCTGATACTGCCTTCAACCAGGAGGCTTAGATTACAGTGTTAATTTCCATTCCTTTGAGGTTTTAAAATTCTGGAGTTGTTTTTAATGGTGGAGAATTGTCTTTGTTTTGCTTTGTAAAATATTTCTGCTCTGGTGAGCAGGATGGAAAGAGACATGTATCTTCATATTCTGCCTGGATTTTAGTCCAGTTTGGTTTTAGATGGTTGGTTTTGGTGGGGAAATAGTGGCCAGAATGGCTATTTTGTAAAGCCTTTGTGCTATCCAGTGCTTTGGAACTGATTACAGCTAAATGCTCTACTACAGGTTTTTTGTAGATGGATTCAAGCTGACTACTATCTGAGCATTAACTGTTGTCAGTACAAATTCTGATTTTTACATGTCTGTGCACTTTCTGTATTAAAATTAGAATCCTTTAAGAAAGCCATAGCCCTTGTCAAACGCAAATGTAAACCAGAGTTGCTCCTTGTAGTTTACAATATATGGAGAATGATACGCAACTAGCAACATTTTGCTGGCAATTGAACTGTGTTGGTATTTACCAAGAGCCAGCCACATAGTCGGTTCAGTGCTGGACTGGAAGTAAAGAAACTGCTTTCTTGTTCCCAGCTCTGCCAACTCTGTGAGCCATTGGCATTTCCCTGTATCTCGGCCTAGGTTCCCGTCTAGAAAATGGGACTATTGTCTATCCTCCATAATACAGTTTGACATATATGAGTGAAAAGTGATTTATAGAAGCAAAGTATTGCTAATAACATTTTTGTTGCTTGGTTACCTGTCAACTGACTTTAGAAGGCCTAAGTAACTAATCCTAACGGTTGGACTTGTCATGATCTTTTTTCTCCTCCCTCACAGAAACTTGCCTTCATGGTGTCTCTGGGACTAGTTACTCATGACCATCTGGAAGGTAGGAAGAATGTCTTAAGTTGGTTCTTGAGCTCCCTGTTTCCTGGCCATTCTGAATTGGAATTACAGGTCCAAAGAATTTCTGTATTAAATACAGTATTTTCTTGCACAAAAGTACATTTGGGATGTCTGTGCTCTTCATCTAACTTAGTTTGTTGCACACTTTTTTATTCCTCTTACTGCATTGAAATAAAGCAGTTGCTTATGCAGCTGTAGCCAGTGGCTGGGAAGAAAGTGTATGTCTGATGGTAGGAAAGACATTTGTGACAATCCCATTCCTTTCTGGACCACCTCTGTATCTGCAAAATTACACCATGGATAATTTTACTGTAACCCACATCAGGATTTTTCATTTATTTCATAGGACTGTGATCTGTAAAATGAATGAGTTAATCAATTATAATTGGGTTTATAATTTAAACTCCTTAATGCTATACAGTGCAATACAGCCTAACATTTCAATGGCTTGCATGTTTCTGTACCGTATTTATTTTTAAGTATTAACAAGGTTACCAGAGGCCTTTAGTTTTAGATCCCAAATTACATTGACCATCAGTTTAAAATGTCCTAGTCGTGGACTACTTGGCAAGAAGATGGCAGTCATTTCATTATTTAGTTGGGCACCATATTTGTATTCCTTGTCAACTCTTAGTTTTCAAACCTTCAGAAATTAGAAGTATAACAAATTTGCCTGTATTCAGCATGGTTGGTGTTCTGTAGAAATCTTCACAGCTCTCGTCACATGCAGACTGAATTGTGAGGACTTTATAATTTCTGAGGCCCATTGTTTTCTAACCTGAATGCTTTGTTTTACAAGAAATCCAAAGTAAGCGACAAGAGAGGAAAAGAAGAACAACAGCAAATCCAGTGTACAGTGGAGCCGTTTTTGAGCCTGAGGTATTAATTTTTTGCTGGTGGAAGCTGGTATTTTCGTTCTGAGCTTGTCTGTCTTTCTGCCATGTGGCTGTCTCCTAAGCTGTCTCAGTTCTAACAAGATAGGCAAGCTATCATTTATAATTCGAAAGGCTGTTGCAATTATATGACCCTCAGATTTTTAAATAGTAAATACATTGGGATGTTCTTCTAATACCTAACATGTTTTTCTGCCTTCTGCTATGTAAAGCTGACGTTAAATGGCAGTGTGTGTTAGCCTTACCATTAGGCCAGCTTGCCTGTCAGCCTGAAGCGGGCCAGATGTCAGAAGCAGCATAAAAAGCCCCAGCCTTTCTGAACAGAACAGCCAGTAACCTCACTGAGTAACTGTGCTGTTCCTCAGGTATTGCATATGGTTGTTGCCAAAAATGTTAGCCAATAAAAATTGTTATATTCTCCCCTGCAGCGCAAGAAGAGTGCGGTCACGTACCTGAACAGCACAATGCATCCCGGGACACGTAAAAGAGGTGAGGTATACTTAAACCTGTCTCCTTGCTGTATGCCTCTTCCTCCATCTTACACTTGCTGTCCCCTTGTTAATTTGAAGAGCAAACCAAAGAAGGACTCTACAGTACTTCATTTGTCCAGTAAATTTCCATGGTAGACAAAGATCATGACTTCTAGGGATTAGCATAGCAGGTTTTATTGGGCAGCTCAATGTTTCATTTCAGTTTCCCTCTCAAAAAAAAAACCAAAACAAACAAAAAAAACCAACAAACAATAGATAGAGCAAAGTGAAAGGTGAGATGTTTGAACATCATTTAGTGGTATAAAGCTGCTGTCAAGATCATCTTGTTAATAACTAAATTGTATTGTTGCTGTCAAGAAGAAGGTGGTTATGGAAAGAGCATCTCTGCCCTGAATAGGAGAGGAAACCTAGTGTGACAAAAGCCTTGTTACCCACTGGGAGTAGAGATGGGTCCTGCAAAAGAATTCATCTTGAGCAAGACGACTGTCGTGCTCATACTGAGCACTTTCCTGCAACCAGAGTTCCACTTGTCCTAAAATGAGAGGTGATTTTTCATATAGGTATGTGGTATTACTCAGTAGAAATCCTTCTGTAGAACAGCTGAAATTATAGTGAAACGGATGAGTCAGAACAGCATAGGAAAGAATGTGATACCATTTTTTGTTCATGGCATCAACCAGACATATATGACAAGTTAGTGGCTCATGGCTTAGACAG